CAAATAATTACAAATTTATTTTTGGCACATATACGAGTTGACTATATATATACATTCAAGTATATAGAGCAATATAATAATATCGTAAAATAAATAAGATAAAATGTGGTATGTTAACGTGGCAGCTCCTTGCAAGCAGAGATTTTTGGACGGCGTTGAACCATGGCGGAGCTGAAACGCCACATGCTTACCCAACTTGGTTAACTGCAAGAAGAGGTTTATTTAATCTTTAAAAATGAATACCCAATTACTTTATTTCATTCTTCGTTTTATTTATCATCATTGTTAGCATTATCTTCCTCATAAGCTCCCGTTCATTCCTCTTGCTGGTCTTCCATTCTTTCTTATACACTTGCTATGGTTGTTGTTGTTGTGGTTTACCTTTGTTTTTTATAGGAATTGCAGATCATCACCGTAATTATCATCAATGTAGTTGGTATCGTCATAACCATATTCATAATTATCGTTATTAGAATCAGTCATTGTGTACCATTATATATATTCTTTTTAATAGTTATTACATTGTGATATCGGGCGGCGGCAAAGCAACAAAGAGGTTAGTTTTTATTTGTCTGTATATATGCCTAGCTTCTCCGTCCTTTTTCATATATATATATATATATATATATATATGTATATTTAAAGCCGAAGTGAAAACGTGCGTGTGTGGGGCGTAACTTTGTTTTTATTGGGAATCATTCACCTCATTTGTGTTAATTACATCGTACAACTACAAACGCCGTGCGTCTTGTCAACATGTCGAATTTTATCACCACTCGTATCTATTGGCTGTATTGTTAACGTAATGACTCACTATTATTTCACTGATCATGTTATGTTCTTGCTGGTGACAGTGCTAGAATAGTTTAATAAAATTCTGCGTTTTTGTTGATTTGAATGATCGCCTTTGATGGTTATCTGTCTTTATCTTTACCTTTCCTGTCTGGCATTTTCTTCGTGGAACGCGCATACCCCAAATATAGATATAGTAAACATGTAGCGGGTGCTTGATGACGCCGACGGACATTTTCTCTCATGATTTTCACCTCAGACATTAATGTGTCAAAGAACGAATCACACGACAAACAAAATGTTTTTGTTAGTAGAAAATAAGATATTTACAGGTGTTGCTTTTCTAATCCCTAAAATGAGTGTTTCTCTAGCCGCTTCTGTAATTACTGCTACGATGAACTATGACTTCCTTGCCTGCTTTGATGCATGTCATTCAGTAAAGCCAAATCGTTTAGAATACTTTCAGATCGTCCAGTTCTTCAAAGCAGTACAACAAACCGACGTCTACTGCTTCACCTGGCATACAAAAACTCGGAATCGGAACTTGAGATAACTTCTTTCTCTATGATGATCTTTAACGGCATTATCCCTTTTCAAAAGAAGAGGAACTCTTTTTAAAAGCATCTGGAAGCAAAAAGAGTCGTCAAAGAACATAAGCTTTTTGTCTTTTTTTTTTTAAAAAACAGGTGACGAGAACGTCACTATATTCCATTCTTTACGATTACGCTTATTCGTCACTTATTATACATAATTCGAAAAAACTTTATCAAGTGAAAAAAGTAGAGGATGCTTTTGCTTCGTTTACATCGCTCCCTAGCCCTATCCGTAAAATGGCCAATTCACGTTGAAAACATAGTTATTGATTTACTGTTTATTGTAGATGTTTTTGCCCCTTGTTATTACCTGGAATTTCGAGTTTGTTGTACTCGTGTTTGTCTTTAGGCAAGAACGGCAAATTGGCAATTCTGTACGTGAATGTCACTACGATTAGAAAAAGATGGCGTGCATTGTGTACCTTGTTCGGTGGGCCCTCGCCATGTTATCGGCCTGTAAAAGGGCGAATAGAAGTTGATCCTTTAATAGGTATTATCAGATCTGGTTTTCAAGTCCGCTTGTCATTTATAATCCCTTACCTTTGGTAAGTGTTGTTGGCATGTGTCGAAAGCATGTCTTTGCCAAAAGCATAACTACTGCAGTTAGATATAGGCGGCTTGCTGTGGCAATGCGATCATAAGGTTGCGCCATATGGTTACAACAACCACAGAGTATTTAGCAGCTTTTTGAAATCGACGTTTGGTATTGCTGGTGTTACCTTCATTGTTGATCTCGTTGTTACGGTTACCGTGGGCGAAATGCGCAACGATCTATAACGGCTCAATTCGTTGCATCCTTCTGCTCCACAAATGAAACAAAAAAGTACATGTGTTCAGAGCTCAACGCTTTTCGCTCACCATCTTGCGTCTCTTGTGCATGAGCTATGACGTGGTTCAAAGGCAATCTGACAGAGCGTGACTGTTTTTCTATATCTGTATGAAGAATGACCAACCCTTACCATAGGAAGTATATATGTATGTTACATTATGTACGTGCAAATGAACTAGTATGCTGAGCGCTCTCCAAACAACTATCCACAAGCAATCCAGTGTTGACGGCTAGTACGCTTCCTGCCCAATTATCCGAGCCAACTTTTTTCACTTCCAATTGCTATCAGTCAGGTATGAGGGTCCCAGGGTTTCCACGACGATTTTGTTATTGAACTGGGTTACAAGGTTCTGTCAGCTTATCGAACTCGTCCGCGGCACACGCTGCGTCGATGGTAACACAGAGTTGGCTTTTACGATGTCGTGCTTGTTTATCTATCACGTCATGGTCCTGCATTATCGATCTGTAGTATTACCGTCAATTTCGATTAGCGAAGTGAAGGCTAAAAGCGCGGATAGAAAAAAAACACTGGCTTGGTTGGTTGTGGCTTTTCTATGATTCAGGAACGGTGTTTTTTTTTTTGTATACTTCAACGCACGCACACGTTTTCAGATGTACGTACCATGTATGCCGTGATCGTTCTTAAAGTTATGATTATCTAATGGATGTATTATATCTATTTATGTATATTTATGTACATGCAAAGGGAAACGAAGCTATACTGCGCGCCCAACATATGAACACATCTTTATGTACAAATAAAAGATGGCTGCAACGACCGATGGGGCCTGGGCAAATCGCTGAGCTCCTATTGTATTACCTGCTACTATCCAAGCAAGTGTCATTATGCGAATGAATAATTATATGATAAATAACACAATCAGTTTTCACTTCGAGCTCTGCCCACATGGCCAGACCCTACGTCGGCGGAAAAACGCGTCATGGACGTACATCCCGCCAATAGTGAAAAATCTGATTCTTTTGCTTTGGTTGTTACTATTAGTTATTATTATTACGATCGGTTACGTGAATCATTTTCATTTTAACGACGTCTATCTCTCTTCCAGGCTACTCCTTAATCTTTGTCTTCTCTTTGTTTGTCTCGAGCCTCTCCCCTTGTCGACATGGGAACTGATATTACTATTTCTTGTAAAGGACTAAGAGCCAAGACATAAGTCCGTCTCGATAAGCGCTCGATAGAAGAATACTCGCCCGGATGTGGAATGAGACCACGAGCTATGAACCAGATTGAGCGTGCGTAATAGCTAAAAAAAATACGATCGCCGAACCAACTATAAGATTTGCATTCATAAAGTGATGACTGTTAAATTACGACGGCTTGTTTATTTTTATTTGTCGTCATTCTGTGAATGCAAGGCCTGACGTTTCAAGTGACAATTACCAGTCGACAGTAGAGAAACGTTGAGATGTGCGTGAATCCCAAACCTTGTGGAACACCAAAGTCCAACGGGCGTTCTCGGCAAAAACGAAAACGAATTATCCAACATTTATATGGCGACATTGGGTGCCTGCCTTGCGATCATTTTAGGATTCTCGCAAACAGTCAGCAGCCGCACGATTTTTGTTGCGCCATTTCTTCTTAAGCAGTGTCATTTAGAGCCCACAGTCCCTCAGCAGTTTTGCTCAAGGTCGCCCTAGCTGGGTGGCTCAGATATCTTTTCTCCCTTATCCTAGGTATGTCTTTGACTCCAGGTAAACCTTCTGAACACTGTTCCTATCCAAACTCCTCTGCCACCGACGAGACCTAGTATGTACACTGTTGGACACTGTCGACGTTTCTCTTCACTATCCTGTGTTACATTCGAATGCGACCTGTTGCCTTTAAGGAGAGAATAGGTTAAAAAATAACACAAGCTTTCACCTACCAAAGAGCCAGTCCATCTGTTCGACCTTGGTATCTTCCTGTTCTCCGACGTCGTTTGTGTTCAGAAGCCCCTACGTTTTGTGTACTCTTTACCGAGGGCGACTTTTGCCCATTTTCTCTTTCCATCTTTCTCCGATTTCTTTCTTAAACTTTTTAAGCCGATATCGTATTTGTTCCTGAACCTTCCTCTCGTCACTCGTAAATCGTTTTTACAGAAAAGCTGCTTTCTAATCTCTGCCTTTGACGTAATCCTTCCTTGGGGTTAACGGGGCGATGCTCCGAGGTCGTTTCGACCGACCTTACGAGGCGCGCCTTCGCGAGGGAAAGCAACAAACTTCAGTGGGATTATCTTTCTCGTCTCTCCTTTTATAGGAAAACCTCTCAAAGCAACCTCGTTATATTTCCCACGATATAGCGCGTCCTTCCGAGTCAGTCGGTCCGACTCTGTTTCAGTATAGTTGTCCTTCTCTTTTCTTTGCTTTTCCTTAGTTCTTTGCCTACGCATCTTAGAGCCGTTTTCTCAGCCATGTTTCCTTCACCCGTTCTATTTTTTCTCAAACTTTCTTCGAGAATCAGAACTCTACGTATCTGTTACCACAAAAATAAGCTTGAACATGAGGCAACGCTAGATTTCAATATATGTTTACCAACCAGTCAGTATATATATATATATATATATATATATATATATGGAACAAATGAGTTTGTATTAGCGTTTGTTAATAATAATTGTCATAATAATAATAATTATTATGTTAGCTTTATCATCATCAATATTCTTATTAATAATAATAGGTGTGCTTGTGAATTATATGGCCGTATTTTCGCAATCCTATATAACATCTGGGGTCAATGGGGCAATTTTTATGTGATCAACGTTGCGTCTGTAGGCAAGTTTGTCTTTTTTTTTTGATATTTGTACGTTTTCTATACTGCAAAATGTTTATGCGACAACGTGGGCAAAGACTATTCAGTAAATCTGGAAATTAGATCATGGCTTGAAGGATAATTGTTAATTCTCAATCAACAAACCATTATTATCAATCCTCCTTGCCTCGATTCAGTTGTCAAAGCCGTTTGAAGTCTGCAGTCGCTTCATACACATGACCAATGTGTATGTCATAATACATGGAGTTTTATTATTTTGACATGTCTCTTTCACCAAAACTAGATAAAGACGATGAAAGGGAAACACACATTAAAATGAGTGCGTTTTGTTTTTATCATTCTTAACTAACTTGTAAGGACAACCAAACAGTGCCACACCTACTTCTATGTAGGATGTGAGCAAACATAAAGCACAATTATCTTTGTTCTTATGACTGAGAAAAACTTCCGAGTCCGTTTGAACAGCTCTCTACGCTTCGAATATTATGGAAGCCAAGCAAGGAAGCGAATTGAGTCTATGCCCGGGTTCAAACCTAGACCACAACGTGTCCCTAAGATTAGCAGGCAAATACGTTATCGACTAAGCCATCACAGGGACCCGTTCGAACGGCCGAGCCAATGGGTGGGGGCAGTGGGTTATGGCTTAAGAGTTCACCGGCGGGTTTGGTCTTGGATCCATCAACTGGATATTACTTGACAATTTTGCCCTGATGCAATTTGCCCTATAGCAACTACTAAATAGGAACTTCACGTTGATATGCCGCGTATGACCTAGACATTTAGACAAAAGGCCAAGAGAGGAACCTGTGGGCCGCCTCTTGTTGACATTAGTTCCGTTGCAACATCCCACTATCTTCACGCGAGTAATTTAATAGTTATCAAATCATTGATTACAAGCGTTCTTTTTCATTATAGGAAAATAAACAGCATAGCTGAGAGATCAGCAAGCAATTGTCCATTGGGTACCTCGTAGTTATGCGGACTAATGTTTTGTCATCAATGTCATTTCGTACAAATCTGTGTATACGTGTAACGGAGCGTGTCTCCCATTGCTGAATCAAAATTTCCGATACTTTAACGCGCGGTTAGCTGTGTAGTTCTCGTTTTTTCGTGTCGTCTTTATTCAAGACGTCATGATATATAGTGACTATTATTAGTTCTTTTAATTGTGCTTGGTTAAACGAGCCAATTCTCTCCAGACGCAGATTGGTTAACGGGTTTCCCGTTCGGATTGAGCGGTGTTCGAAGTGGGAATGTCGAATGCGAGCCTGGCTGAAGACCTCCGAGACCTAGTTCATCCCCAGGCTGAAATTCATTATCAACATGATAAAATCACAAACGATTAAATTATTTTTCTTTTTTCTTCGTTACTCACCTGTGTATTAATGTCTTCTACATATATTTACTTAGTGGTTGGCTTTTATCATGCGTGTTGAAATCATATAGTTAAATCATAGTAAATGTCCTTACAGACAAGAGGTTAATAGGCTGATTTTATTAGTAAACTGATAAGTTCTATCATTTATTTTATAATATGCGTTTGCTTCGAGGAGGGGTTATGGAAATCGGCTATTATAATGTAAATCCTTACCGCTTTGCCGGGAAACGTTCCAAATGGAGTGATCGTATTATTCTGGAGACCTGGGGGCCCCATCATCCCGTTGGGGCCATTCATTAGAGGGCGGCCGTTCTGCAATGCCACCTAATGAAAAAAAGAATTAATATATACTCAACCCCAGATTATAAATTGAGAGGCGGCTAATTAATATAGGGGGTCAATTTAGTGGGATAGTTATTGTGGATGAGTATTGCAGCGATTGAAGCACCTTATTTTGTCACAGATTTGCTATTCTGGTTTGACAAACATGTTTGCAATGCAATCATGGAAAATATACAGGCAGGTAGAACAACTCTTGGTATTTAAAGCTGACATACTAATCTTTATTTACTAATGTTATAATAAATGTGCATATATGTACAACATGTGTCAATAAAGCAAATTTGTGATAATGATGTTTTACCTGTGATGGCGTGTAGTCCTGTGGCCCTCGACGACATACACAGAACACAATGGCAGCAATACACAGTATGCAGAAAGTGAACGCTATCAGAAGTAGAGTCAGAAATACTGACACACCAATTCCCATGATCTGATGGCCGCCGCTGTCATCTGTAGTGGTTGTTGAAAAATGAAGATTAACATTATCCGTATTTTTACATTCAACAAAGTATGAGCGTACCTTAATTATGTGCAAAGTACACGCACACGTTTCTGTTTTACTATTTTATATTACCATCTTTTTTTATCTTATCGTTTGTATTCATCATCAGTTGCTATCGCTATCAGTAGATTCAATTCGCCGATGAAAGTGGCGCTTTCCCCACGTTTAACGCTTTTTCGAGCTCCAACACTGACATGGTGTAGGGTGTAGATATTTATTTATTTTTTGCTATATAGTTATTTTTTGTGGGAAACTGGTTTTCGAACAGACTTACACCATATTATTACAAATAACCTGTAATAGCATACAATGAAAGACAATATCTACTAGGGCATATCTGGGAGTTGTCGATCACAGGCCACCGAAACCGACTACTCAGTGACTCAAGGCCTTTCTAAGGCTCTAATTATTGACTGAAAAGCTTTACTTCATTGATAAAGGTACGTCTTGTAAGATATCATAACAAAAATGAACACACTTACCGATACATTGAGCGCGCTCATCCTCGTCGCTTCCATCCCCGCAATGATTGATTCCATCGCAGGTAAGGTCCTGCGATATGCAGAATTGCTGGGGACCTCCGCACGAGAACTGTTGGCAAGGCAACTTCTCGTGTTTAGGATTGTTCATATCCTAATCACGCCAATCCACCCCAAGATGGCCACCGTAAAGGATTCAAGCCAGTCGTTAGAACGAGCGAGTTTGGTCAAATTGCAGACACGTAGACAAAAGCACGGAAGCAAATGGAACAAAGGTATTAGACGTTAATATACAAATATTGCTTATTGCAGTTTTTATTTTTATTTATTTTTATTGAGTTTTATTGATTAAAGGTATGCAAAGTAAGAATTCAAGCATGCATAGTTAAGATTAACAGTAGGCACGTAAACAATGCGTTCTTCATTTAAGAAGACGTTTTAAATCGTAACATTTGTAAACATGCTGCCCTTCGTTTGAGCCAGCCCTTGTTTAACAACACCACCATTGGAGACGCAGTGACTCGGACAATCATGTTTTCCAGTTAAAAGAGACCAGGGATTACAGCTTTAAATGCTGCCAACAGCAAGTCCTATACAACCTGTATATATTTCCTAGTACTCTGTAATGAACTTCGCGCTAATACGAGTGGAGCCTTAGTAAAAGGGCGCCAATATATGAACGCAGTACGCACGTTAAATTTCCTATGATGTGGTACGCGTAGCCACGTAGATAGATTTTGGGGTCCTAAGAGTAAGCATTAACCGAGCCAAACGAGATCCTTGATAGATACCGAAAGGATAATCACGTTTTGAGGGACAATCATCACGAACGACCTGTCTGACGAATAGGTTCAGCACCCAGCCGACATTCGGCTGCTGATTTCAAACCTGGACATTTTGCCCAATAATATTTTATAATCATATTGACTCAATGAAAACATGAAGAAAGTCAAAAGTACCTCAACTCCGAGCTAGCGACCGATCATGAAAAATTTTCAGTAACTGTGTGTTAATTACGCGGCTCTCAACCGATATGAATCAAGACGTCAGCTTGTAGATAAAAACTCCTCATGAGCGATTATCTTCTAAAATAGAAAGTAAGACCTTAGGTAATGTGTAGGTTCCAGGCATGTTGCAACCACTGCTGACGTACGTGAGCGGCGATGGATTTTACAAAAATTCGTGGTACAGAGCTATCATCATAGAATTGCGAAAACTAATGTCGAAAGTAGGTAAAGAACCAAGCAGCACGGTCATGACATATTCCATGATTGAACAAATTCATAATAATTAATTTTAAAATAGCGACAGAAAGCCTGCTCGCTTTGTCCGCATCGGTATACCTTTGATTGGATTTCGAATTTATTGCGTTTTTTTTTCAGTGCTTAAAGATGCACATGACAATTGTCTAAACTTGATTTTTCGTTCGTGGCCTGAATTCGCAAACACTTGTGCTATGTTCGGGCCCAGTGCATCTCAGCTGATACAGGACATAAACATGTGAAGGGTGAGAGTGCGGACATTTCCATAGATAGAATCCTGTATTATATCAAAGAAAAACTCAACAAATGATCGAAACTGCTGAAAGGGTACGGCGGGATGGGCTACAATGGCCTAAAAGTATTTATGGTCTAACCATCATGGCCACAATCTTCTTCGATGCTAGACTGAAGGACACAGCTGAATTTTCTGAGCTAACGCGTAAAGATCGTACTAGAGCATCGAATACAGAATCGTCATTGTTAGTTTGGGGTATTTGAAAGCTGTTATCGTTTTATAGATGAGTAAGTCTTCCAGCTAAGAAAATCTATTAAAGCTGCATAATGTAGGAAAAATATCGACCATATTCTTCTGAAGGTCTATAGATATGAAAATAGGTGAGCCTTATCTCGTTAAATAAAGGTTATCATCACAAGCCTGAATCATAGGACAGTCAACTTCTAACAGAAGATCACAACGGAGTTTGCGCATCTGTGTCTAAACAGCAGCCGATGCGTCCATGGGCAAGAGACAAGCAAAGACTATACTTTTAAAGACATCCCTGCTTTAAATGATATTCGCGTTCGGGTGCGTCCCACAATAACAAGTTTTACTTTGACTAAAATAGAGGGCGCAGCTCGAAGACGTCACTTTCAATCATAACAAAAGAACGTCACAACGCCAGCTCAAAGAAAACTCGGCCGAAAATATTAATTTCAATAGTACAGCTTACATTATTTTAATGAATGGTTGCTTGAAGCGCTACGGAGCCACAAGCTTATTTCTTTGTCACAAGTGCAGCAATAAATAGGATGGACAAGAGACGAGGCGACAAGGTTGAGCGCTTGATGTCCTGCCGTGACTTTTTTATAGCCATGTTTGGTACCAGTGTCCTTTACGAATTTCTCATGGAATATCTAAAATACAGTAGATTCGTGACAAGGCTTTGTTAAGAAGGTTAAAAGCTAATTGTTTATGCAGACCAGACTGCACTCCCGACGTGCTCATCTACTACCAAGGGACTCTCGTTCACTAAACTCTACATTTCGTACGCTAGGGTTTTCGTTCAAACATACGACAAGTGAGGCGACGAGCGATAGCCTGATCACCTTCAAGCATACAGAGCAGAAACGTTTCTCATAGTGAGGTGCGCCCTGAAGCATCACTGACATATGTAATAATAGAAATGATTCGTATTGCGGTCGAAATGGAGCATCCGTTATTTACGCAGCTTATGCCGCCAGCTTGGCAATTGCAGTCCTCTGAAAAGCTACAATGACATAAGCAAAGTGGTTCTTGATTCAATTTTTGTTCAGAGCTTAATGTGTCGAGAACATTGCTTCTCTACGGCGAGATTTCTAGGAAGGAATCTAAGGAAGCCTAACTAGAACCGGCAGCCCGAAGTGATTTAATAAAAGATCCAATAGATTTCGCCTTCTTTCGAAAAGGAGATATGAATCCGGTTCAACTTTTTGATTGAATTGCATACAGCGTCACTTTTGAGCTGCATATTATTAAATCGAGGAAGTGTTTGTAAAAGCCCTGGATGTGCTCTTTCAGTAATCACCGAAGGCTGAAATTTCGTTAACTGAACCTTCTATGGCCATCTTATTGGACCAAATGTGGGTTCGATGGTTGCATTTGAAGCAAAAGGCTTAGCCTTTACATGCTACTGAGTTGCTCTTTCAACTAAAAGTCGAGCTAGTACTATCGGGATCGACTACGTTATCTTCCCCCCTGCGCTTTATCCTGACAATACGGAGTGAAAGCAAAAACGCTAGTATAACATGACAAAACGCATAATTAAATAAACAATATCACAATTTACCTAGAGGCATACAGGAAGTAAGCACGTTAAGTCGTTGAAAAGTAATCTGTCAGTAAAAGCACACATTTTTAAACTTTTTCGGGAATTCGCTAAAAATGGGTCTGAGAACTTGTTCGGCGAACCACAACTGACATGAGTAAAGCACCTACAACAAAACCTTTTATAAAAGCTCGTTCCTTAACGTGTGAATTTCTCTAGAACAATCCTGTATCAAACAACATAGATCAACAAACTTATTTGTGCATATGAAATTCAAAGGAAATTTGTAAACATACAATTCTACCTCTAGGTCGTAATGAAACGGTTAGTTTTATGCAGAAATTGCACTGATAACGCTGCATTGTTCAGGCTGATTTAAGGCGCTGAATAGAATCAGCAGCACGCCTTGGCTGATTTCGTTTATCTGAGCATTATCGCCTCTGTCTCTGTGACCCAGAAGCGGCCGTTGCGTGTGTGGTAGGTAAATACAATGATTACGAAGTCCATACGGACCGAATGGGCTTTGAATCGGCTACGCATAGAAGGTCTCGGCGCTGGACGTCTAAGCGGCGTCTGGCCGGCTGTCGACACTTTACGGACAACCTAATCTAATTAACGTCAGCTTTGTCAGAAGATGAAATAATTAGATAGCTAGCAAGACGCAGCAGCCTTGCCCGCACAAACAATAGGATTAAACGAGATTCGCTGACTTCACCTAATGTCAGCTTCCCTCATCACCAAGCCATGACAATAGCATAATTTAATGCAACGCATCAGAAGAAATGGAATAACAATTAGGCCGGAGGCATGTAAATCGATTTGATTTTAAGCCACCATTTTAAAAGGGGTACACTCTTCCGGAATAACCTACGGATTAATTAAGGTGCAGGAGGTAAAGTCGTAAAGTACAATTAGAGCTAGGTTAATGGAACCGGCTCTTCGTAATAGAACACGGAAAGACTACGGTCCGTCAAGGTCTGAACACTACGAGTCCGATCAATGAAGCAACATGCTGCACAACGATATCTATTGAGATCCTTTCAAATCGAAAGGGACTCACGTAAGGGTATGTATTTCACAGGTTATGGGCCACCAAGATAAATAGATCGGGGCGAGAGGGTAATTGTATAGATAGTCTCTTTGAACGGCTTCATTTTTATAAATGCTGGTATATTTATTATAGGTTTATTATGAAATGTGTGACATTTTTTTCCACCTTCGAGACCAACGACATTATGATGAGATTTGGGTCTTCCTGTTTTTCAATGTCTGGTTAGTCTAAAAGGTAGTCAGTCTAAATTACCTAAGGAGTGCAACCGCAAATGGCTTGACAGATTGGCTATAGGTAGGCAATGCATGCGAGCTTCGCTTTTGTCGGAATTTTTATTCTACGTGTCTGCTTCCAGCCAGGTGCAGTTACTCATCATTTCCATCCGAGACAGAGACTCAGCTTATTCCTATTCATCTAAGGCATATCATGCATAAGCTATAAGGAAAGTAATCCTCGATCTTGAGCGTCCTCTAATGAAGGTTTATTTTGGACTGTTTTTGTAGTCTCACAAAAATTACTCTAATTTCGCTTAGCTGGTGCGTAGCCATTTTTTTTTATTCAATAAGACAAAAATCTCTCGGCGCTTTCTAATGCGATTAGAATTGTCTGGCTGTCCGTCAAATGACAGACACATTAAGGGTAAGGTGTATACTTAATGAAAAGCGTGTGCTTTAGACGGCAAATTGTAACCATTTTATATAATGCAAACTCAGCATGATGGAAAATCCACGCTTATTTTCTTCCAATATATCGTATTTTTACTTATCTTGTATTTGTCCACCGTTCAGCATTCGAGTTACTATTATATGTTTACTGTGTTATATACCAGTGTTATAGGTTTATGTGTGCTTCCGATCGACGTAGTATTGAAACAAGTGCCGACTCAGGGCGAAGTCGATAAGTTAATCCAGGACGTCGGCCTTTCATAGATACTTCAGTGGGTAGGTGGCAAATGTTGGTCAAAGCCCCGACTGCTTTGTGAGCTACTTAGGTGTGAGGGGCGATATCAGTAAATAAAATTTGCACATTCATCTTTTGAAAAAAGCGTGCTTTTAATGTTCTTGCAAGGTGTTGCTCTAGGCTAAAGGGGTAATGCGACATGCACAAAGACAGCGTAATACGCTTTTACGCCATCTAAAAGGCGGGAAACGCCAAGGTACCCTTATTTTAGCATACCTTATAGGCAGTGATAACGAGCTTGAATCCATTTTTCTGCTGGCTATAGCTGTCGGTTGTGTATTTGAGCGTCACGTAGTTGCTTTGCGTGAAGATCGTGCCAACATCAGCCCGCGTGCTCCGGCACGATAGATCCACCTGGTTTTTTGACACATTAAAAAGTACCGTAAGTTAAGTAAATTTATTATTAGTTTTATCCGAGAATTTCCGTCATATGCTTTCACCACTACATTTTAACGTCGAAACTTAATCTATTATCAGTCGTATGTTGCTCAAAGTTTTGATCAAAATAATCAGTAAATATGGTCAATTGTTTTGATTGACTATATATGATAAAACGTACATATATGGTTTATTATTATAAAGCAAAAACTGACTGTTCGAGACCTCACAGTCTCAAGCATCGATCAATGTAGATAAAAAGGGGTCAGCTCTTAGTACAGCATCAGACCCGAAATTTTCACAATCAGTTTACAACCTGGCGTCATTTTTTGCGAATTCCATAGCCAATCGATTCTCAATTATCGATGCGCCAGTTATCCTTTGAATCAGCGATGGTTATCGCACAAATGGACAAATAATGCATTATAAGGAGGATACGCGGGTAACTGGTGATCCTGTTGGTTTGAGACAAGCGGAGGAAATGTTTCTAATTTTAGCGGGTCCGGTTCCGCTACCCTCTCAATTGGCATGATTTTCGACCACGGGGCAAAGTGTACCTATGCCTAGTTTTGAGATCTAACCCACCTCACCATATCTGCCGAGCCCTAGTGGGCAAATATGTTACTGCTATCTAATCACGTGGATAGCTAAACCGAAACGTAGCCCCGTTCCAAATATAAAGTAATTGTTGCGAAAAGCCTTTCCGGATGTTCGTTAGAGCTGCATACTTCCACACGTACGCAATAGTGAACAGACCAAAATGCCCGTCCTCTGCTTCTTGATAAAGCCACTAAAGATACATTGTTCAAACGCCAATATCCGGCAGTGGTTTTAGGCTCAAAAACACAGGGGCATACTTGTTTTTTCGAACCTTTTTCTTGCTGATGGCATGGGCTCCATCGAAGATCGTGAGGTGATCGTTGCAGTCCAACGCGAGCTTTTCAAATCGAAGCATAAATTTTTGTAGTATCGAATCTGTTTGAAAAGTGATAACGCAGTCGAGATCATTTTCGCTCTCCGATGATAGGACCGCACCGTGTATGACCTTGTACTGTGGATATGTACGCTCTCCGACGCACAATGTCGAGATATGAACTGAAAGGGGGCACAAAGTAGGCAAAAACATGTTATTATAAGATTTGGCGATATGCAATCCAGAAATTATAATAACGGGTGAACCGTAAATTCCGCCGTAAAGAAAGACCGTAAAAGAAGACGCCTCGATTTTTCATTAAGATCTTTGTCAGAGCTGGTGCTAGTTTCCTGCTGCCTGTTCGTTGAGTTTCATAGCTAACCTGACAAGTTAGCTATGAAACTCAACGAATTTGCACACAATGCTTTTGCCTCTACCTAGGATAGCAGTGTAATCGAACAGGGCTCTCCCGCAACGCCGACCCGCATTGAAGTGGTTTTTGCATTTCAACAATGCAAACTTGAAGAATGAAAGTGACTTCATTCGTTGCCATCTGCGGCCGAAAGTATAACACCTTGATCATTTGAAATTGGACGAGTTTTCTATCGGCTAAGTAATTTAACTTGAGCTAACCGTATGACACGAGACTATATATGTACAGATATTCTAAAATATTATTACTATTAAAAGTGTGGCACAGAAAATAGAGAAAAAAAAAGTCAGATGATCTACTGATCCGCGATTGAGGCCCCGAAATCACCCTATTAGAGATATATTAATATTCGAGAAAAGAAATCATAAAGTGATAGAATAATGGCCCGCCTCTATACAAATTTACGGTTTCTATTACGTTATCTCGACTAAAAACCTCACTGATATGTATAATGTTAGCTATATATGATATTAGTTATATGATAGCTTCATTAATAAAAGATATAAAATAGATATATACGGTATACTGGGTTTTGTGAAGGTTACGTTTTAATGACGTTCCGATTAAATCCATCAAAACAACTATATAATATAACTATATATAACTAAATATATAATACAACTAACCTATGGCGACGTTGCCTTAATATGCTCGTTATCGGAAACCTCGTTTACTCTATATGAAACGTATAAACTTGTATATTATATAACAGAAACAAGGCATATATATATATATATATATATATATATATACAAATTTTACAAAAAGTAAGAAATGTTCCGAGTTATAGGTCTGGTCAAATAAAAAAAAATACCTATCCTCGTAGAAGGGTCATATCTTTTCAAACCGGAACTGTAAGCGGCATCAACCCGCTACTCTGCGTGTGTATATCTACCTGTAAGTAGATAGATCGAGATCTACACTAACCGACATCTTAGTATTACATCGTGACCCAAGATAATCTGATACACAACCCAAAATTCATGCCGACATTAAATGACCTGACCACAGTTCTCTATCAGCGTACTATTTAACAGCAGATTTTCGTCGTGTTCAGAGAAATTGCCGTTTTCGTTGTCCCTTGTACCAACGATTTGATATCCGACTTTAACAGTAACAAATCGCTATTCCTGCTTGGTAATTTAAAAGCCAGCTGTTAATGGCAGAAGCACGTTTCCATATTTTGTACTCAGTTTCTTTTATCAAATGCCTACCTATAAAACATGATGGTTGACCACGAGCTTCAGAGAGACGTTCCTTAATTGGGTAGATGCTTAACATGATCAACTATTAAACTTTGCCACTTTGCGCCGTTGATCTGCCGTCATTCCATTTTTTTTATCGTAAACTACCCTGTGACACATCTACTTAATAGTAGTGGACATCAGAAATGAGCGCCAACAGCTTTTAAGCAGGGAAGCGAACCACTATCAACCAAAATCAACTGTTGCATAAAAGGAAACAGATTCCTCAAGCGACAGTAAGCTGCAAAGGTCACATTCGCATTATGTCTTTTCCACTCTAACAACGCATTTAAGTTTGCTACACTAACAATTGACTAAAATGGTACACTTGTTTATGATGTTGTCGTTGATGGCAGTCGTTATAATTGTCAGTCGTAGGACGATGAGAGGCCATCTGTACCTAGACATACCTCATGATTCCCATTTGGGCCTCAGTCATTCTCGTGCAATAAAAACAAACTGGAGTTCAGCCATACAACGTTTAACAAAAAAAATCAAATGATGTCGTTGTACTTGTATTGTAGAATTTTCATAGTAGATTGTATACATTGAACGAGTCGTCGAAACTAAAGTTTACAGCCATCTTCAATATTACGTTTGCATAATTGGGAGGTGCAGAATGAATGGCGGATCGCTTCCAGAAGTAACAATATAAAATCGAGTACGAGTACACAGAAAAAAAGCGTCTGTCGAATCTAGAAATCCAGTTAAAGGGCGTTGTTCAATTTAGCGTCATGTTTACTCAGAGAAAATAGAGTAGTTAAGGGCATGTTTCGGGTTCTGTATTGCCCCTAAGCATTGCATTGGGCTGATGTTTGCTTATATTAGTGATATGTTATACATGTTGGAATGTAGCGTTAATGTAGACCATGTTGTACATTAAAGTTGTAAAGGGGAAGTATGCTCACATAAAGTTTCGTTACTTTGGTCGATGTGAAAACGCCTTTTCCAACCCCTGTCGCCCGCAGTAGACCCACTGCTGCTTAGCTCGTATTTCCATGATAGATACACTTGCTCAGCAAGTAAACCAAATGTAGTTTCTGCCCACCACTTAAACAGGGCTCAGTGGTAGAGTTGCGGGAAGTGGTTTTGCTAAGGTCGTAAAAATAGAAAAAGTTGCACCTCGCGGCTGGCGTCATCGATATCTGACGGCTCTGAGGTTGTGAGTCTGTAGGTGTCCCTATACGCGTCCCTTTCGCTCACTCACAACTGGGCAACTCAACTCCAAAAAGTTACTTGCCATAGCCTGCGTCTACATCATTAACGCCGTAAAGGCCATTCAAAGCCCTGCGATGCACGATATAGCATAATTTAACAACACAGCTTTGTGTGAGATTTATCTATAGCTCGTATAGGGAAAACGTAAAAGCTAAATACACCACACGTTTTTACTAGGTCAAAACAAAGGGTAAATTACTAGGATGCAAGTTCCAGTTAACGGATCACAGGACCAGATGTACTGCAAGATCCTGTTTAGAAGATATTATTAAGGTTTCAACAAATTGCCAATTTGTGTGCCAGTTTGAAGCGGTCAGATTTTTAGTACTAGTCACTGGTGCGCTAACGAAAATGTAAGCTTTGTGTAGTTATATATTCACGCGTAGCTCATGTTGATTAAAAAAAAAAATGGTTATTACAAAAGGTCATGTGCCAATAAACGAACCCGAGTCAATAGTATTGCGTAGTACTCTGCGCCGTCCAGCGAAATTTCACGCGAACTTCAATGTAAAATATTATCGTTGCTTTTGAATTTGCCCTTTTTTGTCTACGTCCTTTAAACGACTGAAATGTCTTCGCCCAGCTTTCATTTCTTTTTCGTCTCAAACGGAGTTGTAAACTTGGGGTTTCACCTTTTAACCCTTTTTGAAATTCAAGCAAAGGTCTCGTACCGGGTAGCGTGTGCATGACTTTAGTCATTAACAGAATAGCATCAGTACCGAGAAGTTCGACCCATTTGAAATTGAGATCCATCCCATGTGCTTGCCTCTAAGTCAAAGTGCAATACGGTGTCGACCGCGCCATCGTTTCATCAACCTACGGTATTGTTGAACACAATGGTGTTTCGTAGCAGGGACCCAAATATGTGTTTCCCGTTATTCAATCGCTTGTAGTTACGTTATAAAATTGTTATAATCAAACGGCTGTCTACGTGGTAGGTGCACACCATAGGCATGAATAACGTTTGAATTATACAACAATGAGACAAAAGCAATACTTTATATGTAACGGCCGTTAAAACTGCACCGAAGCATCGCGATGATGACCTATATCTGGAAAAATGGCTGGCTCTTCGTTTCGTTAACATAGGCGAGGGAAAAATTCCTTGGCACCTCCTAAGCTTGTATTAAATAGTTTAGTTATTTACATTTAAGCAACTTACTTTCAAAGATTTTTCATCTTTGCCACTACGCAGGACGCAATTTGGTCCGCTAGGGTGCCAAATGGCGATGTACCTCAGCGACATCGCCTAAAACTTGTTGACCTGAACCTTAATGAAGGACCAATAGCGCTGAACTGTTTGAATCTGCTATTTACGGTACTCAAATTTATAGAGGAGAAATTAGATGTGTGTTCTTGAGTTTTGAATAGGGGCTTTTCCACCCTATGATATCGTTCCTTTTATTTGGATTTAATGTAACTACGTTTTCGTTACCCGTCGCGTTTGTAAAGGTGTGATTAACCCGACAAAACAAGTTGAAACTGACGCTCAGAAAAATAATGCTATGCGTTTTGTATCACGCGCTCTCTATCGAAATAAAAAGATACATCATTTTATTTTGGGAAGGGAAATAATTACTTCCGTCGTTTTCTATCTCGAAGGTCTCGAAGTCGAACTCGAAGGTATCATAGTTAGATTGACGTCGGTAATGTTTCTTCAATATTTTGCAATCCAGCCTAAATCCGATGCTCCGTTGAATCCAATCTCTTAAGCGACATGATTTCACATTGCACGTGGAGAATTACATTAAAAAAAATAATCTACTACACAGTGACGAATATGGCGGGGGCAATTCGACACGGTGCGAGCTGATACGCGTCTTATCCGCTTCGACATCGCGGTCAGAAAAATGGACACACAGGTAGATTCGTCCAAATCATCTTTTAGCCAATTCTGTTTTTATGGAGGACATGCACCTCGAGCGCACAATTCGAAATAGATTGTTTGCATTTTTTTACCGAATATTGGCAAAATCTAGGTGAGAATTAACAATGCGTACAGAATAACAATGATCTCAGGAATATAACGCGTTAACTAAGCGAAAGTTGACTCACAAAGCCATGTTGACGTGGCTTGTCACAAGGTTAAGGACATTTGTTTGATGATAGATGCTGTTAATTTTACCGCTGAAAGCCTATCAAAAATATGGGATGTATAGACCGTGTGTTGTTATACCAAAAATAATAGCGTAAAGACACCATTGGTGTACCCAAGATATATATAATTTAAGTTAACGTAGCATATCGGTAAATATCATAGCGAGCATTATTACGTATACTATATATATATAGGCACTTCTTAGGTCATATTCTCAATCATATGGATTACATAAAAACCATATAGCATTTTGTAAAGATCAGATGTAACGCGTAAATGGAGCGCTTTAGTTGCGCTGTTCCTCACTGCGCAACGGTAACAGTAAAGGTATGATTTTTTATTACAAAGCATCAACTCGAATCTTTTACGATGACTGTTTTCTGTGCACGAACTTACAATATCTATTTCGATCCGCCATCGTGTGCCGTGGCCATAGTGTGCACAACAAAGCCACGACAAGTCCCATATTGAAGAAAGTCGCTGTTCGCAACCGTTGAACTCGTACTCGCAGCACGGCCAATAGCAACACGTTATTAATCATGACTATGCAAACGTTGAACGGTGACAACGATGCAATAACGTGAATTTTAACGCGTATGGATCCGATGATATACGCAGCTGGACGTCTAACCACAAGTAGATCTGATTCAAACGTAAGGGCCGATTTCTGCACTTTCGCTTGAAAGCCTTTGGTTGGCTTTGCTTTTTCCGAGTTTGTCCGCTTATTTGTTGCAGGTAGACAGTGCAGCGAATGGGTTTACCCGCAGCGTTTACGGCGTCTGCGTACGTGGTGGGATATTGAACAACTATGAAGATGATTGGGTAAACCTGAAAATCACTTTCTTTGCTGTTCTTCTATTTACTGGTATCCAGGAGAATAATGAATTGTTGTACATCAAACGGCACGCGACGCACGTTTTCAGGCGATTAGATATATCCGGTAGGGCTAACTACACTTAGCTTGTTTCAGTGAACACTGAACTCCTGCATAGGCAAGTTTATATCGACTTGGCTTGCGTATGTCTTCTTCCACTTCACTGACGTGTATCTTAACGAAATATTCCTTTCATCGATGTCCGTTGCGTTGCGGTTCCTTCTGCTTGTTCGTCCTCTCCAGATTCCTTTTCTATAATGATACAATAGCGTAAAAATTTTGTTTCAAACGCTTGAGAAGCCAAGCTATTTTGCCCGTAAACAGAGTCCACCGCTTTGTGCAAGCCACGACAAGTTCCGTACACGAGCCCTACGGGCACATCATTACGGTAATATCAACATCCTTATTACTGGCCTGCATCCAGCAACGATGAGGCTGGCCACAACGGCATCTGCAGGAATGGCACGCGCGCTGCTGTTCGCAATGGATGCCGGTTCACGCACCTTTGGCTCGCGCGTCGCGAGTCACAGCTACTTAACTTTGCGGCAGGTGCCCTCTTGCCCATGCTTCTTTCGTCACTGCAGTCGACCTTGCTCTGATAAACCGTAGCTGGTGTTTCACTGCAATGCGGCCAGACACCTGGATAGAATAGGTTTTGGACTTCTTTTTTGCTCCAGTTCTGAGCTACTATATTTAATGACGTTAGCCGTTGTTCGGATGTCGGAAGTCTGGCATGTTTAAAAAAAGGGGGAGGGACAAGCACAGAGAACGAATGCGGCTATGTTTGTGAATTGAACTCCGCTACGACCGTAGATCGCATATTTTTCCTTGTCGTTAATGTCTAATGACGCCACAGCAGTAAGAACGTACGTTATAAACGACTTGCGACTTGAGCGACGAGTTAGTGGGATCTTTGTCACCGGACGAATGTACCCACAGACAATAGAGAAGCAGGCAGGCAGACAGTGAGAATATCGCTCTTATCTGATAAATTTATCGAGGTCAAGAACCTGAGCGAGCTCAAGCCAATGTTGGGACCGGATTCGTGCCGGTGGCGTGCTTTGCACGTTTGTTATTATTACTGTTTTTCCTAGTCATCGAATAGGGCTGACATAACTTTCTGTCAATAGCGAAGACACATGGAACAAAGCCTGTTGGGAAAATGACCATCGATCACAAGTTGAGCGATTGTTCCGATTACAGCAGGCCGGAACAGACCGGGTGTGCTTTGGGACAGACGTCTAATATTTATCGGTAACGTGTCGATAGAGGCTACCTGCCTGCGAGAGTATTTGTGCGGCAACCGACAACTCTTCGCTACTGCATCTGCGACCTCGAAAATGCTGAGTTGTCGAGTAGATCTTCTGATCTACCACGAAGACACCAAAACAACATTCGACGTATGCGTCTCACTTTGTAGGCTAGTCCCCGAAATCCATTAACAAGAAGGTATACACAGACCACACTCCTCGTTTCTCTTCTCCCCCAGTGATCAAGATATCTCAACGCTTCGAATCGCCGAAAACACCACTACAGCATGCACCATAGGGAGACACCTGAATTAGCGGTGACACAAGGATCCGACCACGTTTCTTTTTTAAAATGATGTGCGGTATGCCAATCCCACGCGGTTGAAGTATCCGCAACAACCCTAAATTGGTTAGGTTCACCAGAATCGCTAGATTCTCTACGATGGACACTTAGAGAGAGTTGCGTCGATAGCTTTACGACGGCGAGCAAGACGTAGAAACGGCAGCGATCCTCACGCAATCCCCGCACTAGTCTCGACTCACAACATGCTTCGACCTTGCCGTTGAACGCCAAAACAATTATAAAAAAACGACTCGTCTCATGGCACCGGGTCCTGCACGCGAAAGCTGTTCCAAGCTCGCACCGATATCACTTCCGTCGTTCGCGTATAACCAGACGTCGTTTTTCGTGCCGAGCTGCCACCACCTGCACGATACTGCTTCTCAGCGTGTCTCGACCCGCCAAAGCGTCGAAAGGGGTCGCTTGTTGACGCGCCTTTGTCGCTCTATCTACGACGGTCAGTCCAGTTGTGCCAGTGTCTTTAGGCGTTTCGCATAAATGCACAGTATAGCACGCACCCCCTATGGTCAACTAATCCAAGCACCGAATGCAGCCGCACGTTGCATCACTGCTCGGCCGGCCCTTGGCAATTCATGTCGGTATCTGGCGCTACTGGTGTCTCGCCAATATCTAACGTCAATGCCCTGCTAAGTGTTTGCGACAGTCAGGACAGTATTCGGCGGTGATAAAAGGAACGCGTCGCTTTGCCACTGCGCGCCTTTAGGGGCGGTAACTGTTTACACACGCTGTTAAACTGGCACATGCATAGGCATTGCCTGACACGGGCAAGCGCGGGTACTATCACCACCGGAACCATCAGCGGCAGCAGCAATGGACCAACACTGACACTACAACTAACATAGTCAACAGCGGCAGCGACCGCCGTCAACGAAGCAGCCCCAGAACTCAGAAAGGGGGAGGCTGCTCCCAGCGCTATTCTACCATAGGGAGTCCTCTTGCTGGCGCCACTCGCCGTGCTCACGTCGGGGCGCCATTTTGACTATCGAAGCCGCCTCCGCTGCTGGAGCCACAAGCAACGCCGCTGCTGATGATACTGACAGGAGCACCACTGGCACTCCGACCGCGGTGAGTACAGGCAGTGCTCGCACGGCTCCTTCTGCTGCTGTCGGATTCTCTTCTGACCCCCTGCCCCTTCCTGCCAGCCGCCGTGGCTCTTGCCAGTACTCCTGTCTAGCGACCGAGGAGTTCTCTGCTCTTGGTAGGGGAGCCACCTTCGCTAGCAGCAACATAGCAAAGCACGGCACAACATAGGTTCTGCCTTTCTCTCACCCTTCGTTCAGTTCGCTCTTCCCTCTTTCTTTTTCATCCTCTCCCACGAACCCCCTTGAGAAGGATACACGCGACTAGAATCTAGCAGCGGCCGTTTGTTAGCGGCCGGCGCGACTCTCCTGCGCTGACTATTTCAACTGCTGGAGTCGCCAGCTGCCTGGCGTCTACAAACCGCTCTACTGGGTTTGCAGCTGCCCATCGTGGCTAAGCGGTTCGAGTAGGACAGCATTACGTTGAGGGCTTCCAATTTTCAGCCAGCAAGCCTTTATTTTCAGATCATTTTACAAGGGTTTACCCTCGCTCTCGCGTTAGGTACACGAGAGAGAGTAGAAATGCTTTTCGTAGGACAACTGCTCCACGCAGCGCTCCCGATACCGCCTCTGCGGTGCTCATGATTTGGGCTGGTCGTTGGGTGAGTGGTATCGCTTGGAACTAAAGTTGGAGTCCAAGGCTCCGGTGTTGGTCAGTGGCTCCAACAGAAGCGGTCTAGTCCTGTCTCCGGACTCCAGAAGATAAGATGGAAAGAGAAAGGGCGAGCAGGGAGGGAACAAATGTGTTAGAGCGAGCAAAATCCATCGCTAGTTGTTGTTAATGGCTGCGGTTGTAGTTGTAGGATACAACGGAGCGCGCACAAAGGGAAGCGAGCTGACTGTGTTCAGAATGGCGACTTAGAGGTAGATTGTTGCTTCATTTTATAGCTTCAATGACGAAAGCGTTGTGTGTTAATGCTGGGCAGCCACAAAAATAGGTATCATACGTATCGTACTGTTTTTGGTTTGATTTTTGTCATTGTTATGGGGCATTCCTGTAAACTGCATCAGAATGACACTGTCGTGCTGATCGGTTTCGTAGGTTCGATGCGTCCATTCCCTAGCGGTTTCCAAACATAGAAATATTATCGTGGCTCTTGTCTCGTAGGATGCAATAGATGGTCCTTTCACTTTAATATTCTCAGTTCTCTAACCCCGTTCCCTTGCACGAACAATCCTTGCTTGCACTCCGGCGGAGCCATGCTGATTGTTGGGAGTACTCATAGAACCTGTCCTGATACGACCCCGTATGGTTGTGTACGTTACTTAGACCTGCCAGTGACAACATCTCATTGAGACAGACGATTTCTCTAGGGTGAAACCAAACGCTCCAACTAGCTAGAAATGGCTTTAGACAGATGGTCCCTTCGTCGGCTTAGTTTCGGCTCATACGCCAGCTGTCAATTTTCAGAAAATGTTACAACAAAGACATTTAAGTTACTCAACAGTTACCGGGTATACGAGAGAAATAAGGTAAACAGCTGTGTATGTAACATCCAGCGCATTAAGCAGTGGAATTCTCATAAGAGAAGAAGGAGAGCAGAAAAAACGCTAAAAAATTTAACAGTCCTCCGGAATGGTACCTAATTAGGCCAAATACACGTGAGACTATGCACTTCAGCAAAGGTTCATTTGAACTTTGAAATTTCTGTTATCGTTCATCTTACAAGGCCAGAGCGACATGACCTGAGATCATTACAAAAACCGCAATGTGCGAAAGCTAAATGAATCAAAAACATTAAGAGTCGTTTAAGGGTTCTCTATTTCGTAAGGATGACTATCCATACCAGTAGATCACCACATATGCGTGTAAAGGTGAAATAGACGGAGCAGAATGAGTGATCTTTTTTTTGTCCACCGGCACTTAGACTTTGCATGGAGAGAAAAGAGGTCGTTTGTTCGTACGGAGATTCCTACAAACTTCATGCAATGATATCGCATAGGGAGGGTTCGAGTTCTCGCATAGACAAGGAGTTCTCAGGGGATAGCTAATAATGGGTTGACACGTCAGGGGCAGCCGCGACACGTTCCAAATGTGCGAGACCGTTGGGGTGACAAAAAAGTTGTCCCCTATTTTATCGCCGCCCTAGCATACACTACTATGTTGGTTATGACACACTTCTGCCACGGTGATTTGCCCTAATTATCACTATTATAAACGGGCACTATTAGCGACTTAATCTCCACAATAAGATAAATGTTATTAACGAGTGAATCTATCAACAACAAAAAAGCTGTCAACAGAATGAATTTGGAGTGTAAGAAATTATTTTTGTTTTTCATTGGTATTTTCTTCCAGAAGCGATGTTCACTATGGTGCGCAGAGATATGCCTACATGAATATTCATTATTATATATACCACAACGAAAATTCGTGTATGCAGTTAAAAATCCATACCATCTAACTACGCGGGAACTACTCTTTCGTTTGTCCCGTCGTGGAATCACGGAGGTTAGGGGACACTAGCAAAAATAGTCCACAAACGCACTTATCTGTACGCACAAATGAAGGAAGTAAAAAAAAGACTATCTCCATAACCCCGCTGATGCTGGATGTGAGTACGGGGGGCACAATGGATGAGATTACCCGAAGGTACACGAAGGCTGTTTATTACTGTACAATTAACCCTTCAGAGCTAGAGGTCACCGGTTCTTAGGCTTGAACAAAAGCTATTGTGAAGTAATAAATAGATACGCATAAGGGATGTTGACGATAGGGATACTGGCAGAAAAAGTCTAGTCGAATTTCCCCCGTACATACTATGATCACTTCTACAGACCAAATAACATGAGACTAGCAGAAATTGGACCGTCAGATTTCAGCGAAACTTTAGCGCAAATTTCCCTCTCTCAGGTAGGTGCTGTAGACAAAAGCATTTTTAATCTCAGCTACAATATAAACAAAAAGTTTATGAAGTCGCTTCGTTCAACTTTTAATTTTTCATTAAGGTTTTGGCCTTGGGAATAAAAGTACAGCTATGTGTCGCGCCTGCCAATAATTTACCTGATATTCGTTTTGAAAGTATTAAAGTAGTACCTTTCCGTCGTACAATTACTGCGTCTCTATTAATTGTGGTTTTCAAACTTAACTTTGCGCATCCTATATCGATTGTGCAGCGGTATCCAGACTCTGCTGTCACATAGATTTTGATTTAGTGCTTCTAGACCCACTTGCAATTGCTTTTTCCTTACTTGCAGATATCCTTAGATGAACAGAAAAAGAATGTCAGGTTAGAGAACTACTCCGAAACAGTAGTGATTCGAGTTTGTGGCTGGACCCCAACTTAAGTGACATGCCAGTAAAATGGCTTACGTGAGGATAAAAAAATGAGATATCGGTTTTAATGCCCACCTGATATTCACTTATTTTTTTCTAACAGTATGAGTTCTTAATTCCCTTTACCTTGCGGTTACGTTCGAATAGCAAAAGTCTCATTACACTTCTCACTGGTCTCATAAACAATGTTAGTTCTTGTCGTGCTGCAGATGTTGCTGCAGCTATAAACGACGTCGGCGCTTTGGAAAAGCAGCACAACTTCCAATGAGCTTCGCCAATCATCAGAGTAATTTATGTATGCAGTGTCTACCATTGTATAATCGACAACAGACCATTTAACAGCTTTATAATCCCCAAACAAGACGCTGGAGTATTTAAGTCCGCAGCATGGCAGACTCTCTTTTAGGGTACAAAGTAAAGACTTCAAAAGTGTATTCTTATTAATAATAAGTCTATATGTGCTTAATAATATATATATA